AAGCCACGGGGGGGGTGGAGGGAGAGGACGCTGCGGTTGGGGCAGCCGCAGGGGTGTTATTCCTCTTCCTTTCCCTTTGCAGTTGAAAATAATTAGGAGAGCATCCCTGCAGCTGGGAGGGGAGCAGGACGTCCTCCAGATCTACCAGTACAAGATCCAGGACAAGAACGTCACCTTTTTCGCCCGAGGGCTGTCAGCTGCTGTCCTGTGACGCTGGGGCCCGGCACAGCGCCCCGAGAGCGGCGCACGGCCCGCCACGGAGGGCCGGGGAGGCCGGTCCCGTTGGCTGGACGTGCCACCAAAGCAGCCTGGCTGGTTCCGCAGCACCTCCCGGAGCCGCGGCGCTCTAGGACTCTGAGAGCAGGCACTTACAGACTTTCATGAAAACATTCTCCTCTTGCTCCTTTGTAAAAGATAAATAATTTGAAACTCTGGCAGTTTCCATGGAACAGACTTATCATTCCTTGATGAGCTTTATTGCCTTCATCATGCATCAGCCTAAAAAAAGCTACAGCAGGTTGTTGAGCTACCTTCTGCGGTGACACACCAAGAGCATTGCACTGCCTTGTGATTACACAAACAGTGCAGTAATAAGCATCTTGCCCTGTCTGTCATTTTTTTTTTCTGTTTTGCTGTGCTTTCCCCCCAAAAAAGTTAACTTTGCAGGAAAGAGGAAAAACTTGCAATCAAAAAGAAGAAAAAAATATTTTCCCAGGGTGGAATATTCTGTTATATAACAAACGAGAAATATTATTGTGTGCTGGAAGGGAAAAACAAGCTTGAAGAGCAAGATGAAAACAAAATCTAAGGAATGAGTTTTGAATGTATCCTTAATGTAAACTGAGAAAAATGAAGGCAGAGACGATAAATGATATACCAGTCCTGGCACTCTGCTTACAGATTGCAATTCCAAATGTCACATGCTATAAGTCCTTCTTGCTCCCCCAATTCAGAAGAGAAACTTTTTCATCTCCACCCCTTGACCATGAATGCTATTCTGTAAGCTGTGTCCAAAATAAACAGTATTGGTTTCCACGTTAACAGTTTTACTTATTCTGTGGTCTCAGACCTACTAAACAAGCTCTTTGCAGTCTGGAAATCCAGAAATCTCAGCCTAATCTTTCTGCTTCTGATGCCTTCCAAGTTTTGATGAGGTTGTTTTTTTATCTCTCACTGTTATTAGAGAGCAGGTCAATGCTGCTCCACTTATTCTGTAGGATTTTACCACTCTATGGATGCCAGGAGTATCCTTTTTATCTTCTCTTGTGAATCCCCTGTTAATCATATCATGATGCACCTTTTTCAAATCTATAGTTTTATTGAATGGGGTTTTTAATCTTTGCAGAACTCCTAACCAGTCGCAGCCATAAAGAAATGAAAAAGAAAAAATCCTGACAGTCACATCACCTGATGTGGTTGGTTTTTTGGGCTCTGCAAAGATTAAAAACACAGTAAGACTTGAGAGCATCCTAGAGGGAATATAGAGGTTGCTATTAATATGTTCTTCCTTTGAAGAGAACTGATCTAAGAGTTTGGAAATAGAGGAAAAGTGACTGTTTAAAGCAATAGACAAAGTTGAGATTTTACATACATAGTGCAGAATATTATGGTAAAAAGAAACTGTGAAAATGATGAGAGGCAATAGTGAAGTTACTCCTAGGTTCCTTCTCATTTCCAAGTGCTCAGACAGGCAAGTCCCCATTGCAGTATTACAGTAAAATGATTGAGCTGATGCCAGTGATGGGACAACTTCTTACGTGGTCATGGGGATTGCTCCAGGGCAACAGGGTAGTCAGTGAAGGAGGCTTTAAACGCGGCTTTATGACAGTCATCGTTTCTCATGTCACTCTCCTGGAGTGACAGCTGTGCGGGACTATTTTTGATGCTGCTGCCAGATGACAGGCTGCCATGGGGGAGGACCACCAGCTGGGAGGACCCTGGTCCTGGAGCCTGCAGACCCAGGTGCTTGATGTTGGTTTCTGATCTTTGGGCTAGGTGTAGGCTTCCCGCTTCTTGCAGCTTCTGCACCTAATCTTTGCTATCCACAAGTCTTTCCTGGAAAATGCAGTCTGCAGTCTGATATTCCGGTTAGGACATGAAGTGGTCCAGTGCATCTGCAGAAGATATCAACACAGCATGGAGAAGCACCACAGAGAAATGGCAGAGAAGAGGGAAAGCAGGGAGGAGAATCAGGGAAGGATGGGACCTGGGGGCAAACACAGAGGAAAAGTGCAAAAGGAGCAGAACAAGAAGGGCATGAGACTTTGGAAGAAGGAAAGGGAGACATGAAAACACAGCAGTGACAAAGACCTTTCTTGTCAGGAACACTGGGGCGTCTCTTCAGAACCGGGCATGGATTTATCATGCATCCTTCAGAAAGCTATGTCACTTTCCTCCCTGCAAAATGTATCCTTATGAACCCAGAATATGAGGTTAGTTACTTATTACTGGACTCCTTATTTCCAAAGACAGAAGGGACTGTTTTAATCTTTTCGGTTGAATCCTTTGCAATCCAAGCAGTTGAACTTCCTAAAATTTCTGCTTAAGATGTAGTGTATTTGCTAGGAACAAAATTTAATATTTGCTGAGGAAATTCACTGGAAATCTTTAAAGTGAAATTTGATACGTTTATGTAGTGGTTAATTGTCCTGCCTCATTTCTAGTCTAAATTATTTCACCTTGAAGATAAGACTTTGTCTGCAGACCAGAAACTCCTTGGTTATCAAGTCTTTATTCCCCATAAACGGCTGTAAGCTGTAATTAAGCCATCCCCTTAAAGTCTTTTCTTCTTCTTCTGTTTTTGTTTTTGTGTGGTTTTTTTTTTTTTCTTATGGAGGGATGAGCTAATAACTAGCGCGGGTATGTGCGTTGAGCGGCCGAGAGGAAGAAAAGATTAATTTTGCTTACTTTACCTGTCGGGGGAGGAAAGAGAGGGTGCGAGCTGCTGAGGTCTCCTGAGGCATGTGAAACAAGGAACACCTTCCCTGCTTAGCATCTCAAAATAAAGAAGCAGGTGCTAGGTGTGGGAAGGGAAGAAAGGTTGTTTGGGCCCTTCTGCAGCGGGTCTAGAAAAGGGGTGTTGAAAGATCTCCCTCCTTCAGGGGCCCAGAAAAGCCACTGCTCTGCTTGCAGGAGGATATAGTAAGAACAGGGAACAGGACAGTCCCTGTTTACTGCTTAGGAAAGCAGGGAGCAGTCGTGCCCTGAGGTCGTGCTGTTTCGTAGGCAAGCGGGGGACGGGGCACATGGGCCAGGGGGAGCGAGAGGGAACGCGTTTCAGGGAAACAGAGTGGAAAGTTTTGTGGGGAGGAAGGAGCAAAGATGGTGGAAAGGGAATGAAAGAGTAAAGAGAGTGAGATGAGGAAAGAGATAAGTATCTGTGCTGCAAAACCAGGAAAATAAGCTTTATAGAGAGGAAGAAAAAGGAGTGCATGAATAAAGGGAAAATGGAGTGAAATGTGCTTAATGCTACTCTGACTGGTTTGCTTGGCGAAATGTAGCAAGCTACCGTCCACTTCAGAGTTCGAAACTATTTTGCTGCTTTGATTTTATGGGGACATTGTTTTGTGATGATGGCATGGTGCTGCAAGTATCTTTCGTTCATCCTAATCTTTGAAATGTTGCTAAAACTTGGGAATCAACTTCCTTATGAGACCTAGTGAGTGTTTTCAGATTATCTTCAGAAATAAGAAGAAAGTGGAGGAACCGCTTCAGTCCTGAAGTGATGTGTTTGTGTCTTTGTGTTTGGGTACCTGTGGTACTGAGAAAAGAAGTACTGCCTTAATGCCAAAAAGTCCTGAGTGTAACTCCTACTTATTTCTGAGAATTTTTAAAAAAATGAATTAAATTCCCCTTCGTGATGGGGGCCAAGATAAGATATGATCTCATTCTTTGTGAAATGTGCAACTGTTACGACAGCACACGAGGGTGATAAATTTAGGATTACGTGAACTGTTGTGTAATGCAGAAAGGATTAGCTGACTTGAATTTAGAAGAAAGGAAAACACCCTGGGATTTTCACTGAATGTACAACATGTAGAAAGCTGTGCTGTTCACCTCTGAATCCTTCTACCAGAAATATTCTCTTTCCAGTAATTCAGCTTAATGGCTGGCAGTAACTCTGCTCAGTGTTTTCGGTTATAAAGTTAACTTGGTGGGATACTTTTTATTTTTCCAAACATGATTTAAATATAAAACATTACAAAAGAGCAAAGAAGAATTAGGTTTTGTGTCAGGAACATTAAAATAGTGTGTTAAGTGTCAAAATCTCACTGACGAAAAAAACTTGACAAAACTTTCTCTGAAGATAGCTGTTGACAGTTATTAAATGGTGGTTTTATTTAGCAGGTTCTAGGCCTGTCTGTTGTCAGAGCTCATATAATAGTGCGTAAGAGAGAAGTCTTTTTTTTTTTTTTCTTCTCATGAGCAAAGAGTTTAAAAAATAAAATAATATAGCTTGACAAAAATGACTGAAAATAGTTAAAACGATCTGTAGTGAAACTCTGTAGGTAGTGAATGGAAAAGGGAGTAAGAGTAATTTAGTAATTTGAGCAAGTCAAAATGAAAATATGACTGAAAGAAAAGTTTTTTGCCTTGCCTTGTGCTTTTACTGTAGCCTGTTCATTTTAAATTCCTTCCTACCTGCTACTGCATTCAAACTGCTATGTTGTCTTCAGAGGCCTTGCTTGCCCTTGAGTAGCATCTTACTCTCTTCTCTCTCGGTTCAGTCTGGTCAGCACAACTAGCCAGCTTTGCCTGCCCCTTATAGAGTATGTTAAAGGGGAAGAAAGAAAGGTCTCAGGAAACATCAGAAAGTTCTGCATTAGTTCAGCCTTGTGTTTCAGAGTCTGTAGGCTGTAAAAGGAGGTGGATGAACAGGGAATTAAAGGTGACTGTCCTCAAGTGAATCTTTTGATTTGTGTCTTCAGGATAAGACACAGTCCTGGTTTCAGAATGGCCAGTTTCCTTTCTGCACAATTGGAATCCCTTGGGAAGAGCAATAAAATTCCAAGGCTGCTGCCAGTAAACGGTAAAACAGTGAGTTTCAGCTGAAGGGAAGAGAGCAGTGGTGAATGAGGAGAGGAGGAGGGTTGCATTTCGTTAGTAAAAACTGAATTAATCTTGTATGAACCATTGTGATAAAGATGCCATGGGAATAATAGTTGGTTTGTTCTCAAAAGACAATCTCTAAGTCAGACTTTCAGACTTGTTATCTAACAAAGTAGTTCTAGGATTTGTTTCACTGGTGGGAAGAAAGAGCTCAGTGATTTGCTGATCCTGGGTTTCTAATTGGTGATTATTATAAAGAAAAATAATTAGTTCTGCATGAT